GCGAATTTCGTCTCACATTTGTCACATGCAAAATTTTTAACACCTTTGTGAACTGCCGTTAGGTGGGTGATCAAATTACATTTAAGTGAAAAATTTTTTCCGCACTTTTCGCACGCAAAATCTTTACGACCTTCGTGGACTGTTTTTTGGTGCCTCAACAAATCATATTTAATTCCAAATTTTTTTTCGCACTTGTCACAGGCGAAATCTCTTCGACCTTCGTGGACTAACTTCTGGTGTAAGAGCAATCTCCGTTTTTCTGCAAATTTTTGCTCGCAGTTTTCGCATGCAAAATTCTTACTACCGTCGTGTACGGTCCTTTGATGCACATGCAAATATGAAATACTTCCGAATTTCTTCTCGCATTTGTCGCATGCGAAATCTTTACGACCTTCGTGAATTGTCTTTTGATGGTGAAACAAATTTGACGCTTTTCCAAATTTCTTCCCGCACTTGTCACATGCGAAATCTTTGCGACCTTCGTGGATCGTTTTTTGGTGCAACATCAAAGCTGATTTGAATCCAAATTTCTTCTCACAATTGTCGCATACAAAATCTTTGCGACCTTCGTGGACTGATTTTTGGTGCTTCGACAAATCGAATTTATTTCCATATTTCCTTTCGCACTTGTCACAAGCGAAATTCTTGCGACCTTCGTGTATTGCCCTTTGGTGATAAAGCAAATGACATTTTTGTCCAAATTTTTTCTCGCATTTGTCGCATGCGAAATCTTTACGACCTTCGTGGACTGTGTTGTGGTGCTTAATCATTTCCGATTTACGTCCAAATTTTTTCTCGCAATTCTCGCAAGCATAGCCTTTTTTACCTACATGGACTGCCTTTTGGTGCTTGATCGAATCCGATTTTGTTCCAAAATTTTTCTCACCCTCTCTGCAGTTTAAGTCTTTGCAATAGTTGTGTACCATCTTTATGTGCAAAAGCAAACTCTGTTTGGTATCAAATCTCTTTGCGCACATTTCACATAAGTAATTTTTGAAAACTTCGTGGAATATTTTTTTGTGCTTGAGTAAAGTTGACTTATTTTCAAACTTCCTCTTGCACTTATTGCATGAGTAATCATCACCATCTTTGTGTACTAATTTTTGGTGCGTTAACAAACTCGAATTTTTCACAAATTTTTTCTCACACTGATCGCATGCAAAATCGTTGTGGCCTTTGTGTACTGATATTTGGTGCCTACTCAAATGACTTCGGAACTCGAATTTATCTTCGCACTTGTCGCATGCATAATTTTTCTCTTTATTGTGAATTGTGTCTCTGTGAGTTACCATACTTGATTCTAGTATAAATGTCCCCTGACACATATCACCAATGTTTTGTTTGTCGTCTGAAACAACAATGTCATGTTGACTTGAATTATTTTCCGAAACAACTTCCTCGGATTTCTTTTCACTTTTATCCATTGTGGCGCCTAAAATAATCGTTGGATCCTTCTACTTAGTGACACAAAAATTGAATGAGCAAAATTGATCTTTTGATATTGTGGCTCGACTTTCAAACTTAATCAATTTTACTATAAACATGATCAGTGTTTGAGGGACTATTTCAAAACTGTTTATAATCATACTGTTTACAATGAAGATACTGATTTATCTGATCATATATTTTGCCTACAATATTCAAACCAGTTTATAATTTAAACTGGGCAACAATTTCTTGGGAGAATTTTTTTAACAGTTTAAAATTAAGGGGCTATTCTACTTTATCCATTTCAAAAAATCGATTTTTTTTTTATTTCATTTTTCGAAAGTAAATGTCTTTGAAAATATTGTGTCAAAATTTCAGAATGATCAAAGCCTTCTAAGTATAATCTTTGCAACGGCACGCATCTCTTAGTGCGCGTGTACGCTTGTACCAGTATAATACGCCTGGCAGCTACACCCCTTTTTTCGAATTTTGGCTCATTATATACATATAATCAGATGTTGTAACGTACTGTATAGGCTTATTATAAGCGCTGAGCACGTTGTTGTAAATGATTTTGAACTTTAATCAAAGTTTAGCTGCAAAGATGTTTAGGTGGCCACACGCAAAATAATAACGAGAGCTTCAACCATTGCGTGTGGATGATGGCACCAAAACATATTTTTTCCGGTGGTGTAATTGTTGAAATTGCAACCAACATATTTGCTTGTATCTTCAATGAAGGATTTTGCACCGTGCTAAAAATGATGGATGAGCTAAACTTAAAAATCAGAGCCTATGCCTCTACTTACGCTGAGAAGCGCGACGAGCAGCGCATACGTTTAGCGAACCGCCGTAGCACTGACTTGTCTCAGAAAGATAGAGCAAGCCGCAGAGACACCAGAATGGATGAAAATCAATTTCATGAAGAATTTAAAGGTCGTCTGTATGGCGCCGGTATCGCTGATTAATCGTAAGTATCAAATTTTTAACTATTCGAAAAAAAAACTTTGAACGCGTTTTTCTCAAAATGATGTTTTTCGATATGGTCCCAGTGATTTCTCAAAAACTACTGGATCGATTCGTCTGAAATTTTAACCACTTATTTGTTACATATATACGTATGGTTGGAACCAAAATTTTGTCAAAATTCAAATTTTTTCTATTTTTTTATAAGGAAAAACCGACAAAAAAAAATCGTTTTTTATTCCATTTGCTCAAGCGGCCGCCATTTTGTTATTTTTGACCCAAAAATGAAAATTTTGGTCCCAACTATAGCCAACCATGCACTGAATAAAAGGCTTTTTTCATTTTGTGTTTCAGATGTTTCATTATTGCTGAATCAGTAGGACAGTGCGCACCTGTTTTTTTTTCGTGCCTGCACACATGACTGCATTATACACATATATGTATAGTAAAACAAAAAAAAAATTTTTTTTATATACTTCAATACTACCTTTATCAACCCCAAAAAGATTTAGAATGATACCTGTCATAGATTGCTTAAAAAAAAATTTGCGGAAAATACCTTTTTTTATGGCCGACAAAGTAGAATAGCCCCTTGAATACTCTAAAAAAGCTCCATGTGCCATTGAGTATTATTATAAAAAATGTTAATATTCATTTCAACATTTCGCACCACGCGCCATGGCTCGATGACCTACCACTGTATATTGCACTCACGTCGTGTAAAAAAAAGTTTAATTTTCAGTAGTAACTTTAAAATATCGATCCCCCTTTCGAGTAGGAAAGCGTAGATGTATAAAAAAACAATTGTCGGGCGATAAAGAAACATGTGTCGATTTCAATAATTTTCAATAATGAGTCTTAAAAACATTTTTTCATTATCGGGGTAATTTTTTTTGCAGGCCGATTTCAACAATTTATTGTTTGTGTTTACGTTTTTGGTCTCTAACCCTTGGCACTGTGAATGAAAAGCGGAGCGAGGTACATTAATGCGGGTTTTGTAGATCTTTTTTGCTTGGAAAAAGCTATTCAACGCCACTGTATAAGAGTTAAAAAATTGTAGATAATGTGCCTGTAAAATATTTTTTAAACATTTTTCGCCATTTCATCTGTAGGTATTTCTTAGTATGAAAAAATAAGTCGCGTTCATGCGTATGAAACGTACGTATAAATACGAAGCGCATTCAACAGGTTGCGTGCCAATGTATGTGGCTCATTCTACCGAAACACACATTCTTCAAGTTCAAGTTTCTGAAAATCTTTCCAAAACAGATATTCTACAACTGTCAGCTGCGTTTAATAAGCTAAAAACTAAAGCAATTTTTGAATAATGGAGCTCTACAGTTATTTCAGTTTTATTTGAGGTATGAAAGGGACACGTGAACTTTTTCAAACATTTCATACCACTTCCAGGGGAAAATCCGTTGAAGAAGCCAGTATTCGAAAATGTCGAAGAGAAACAAGTTATTTGAACAATTGAATTTTGTAGCGCAACTGCTGTCATATCAAAGTTGTAAAAATAAAATTTAAATGTTCGACCGGTAAAAAAAATCTAATGCTGTGGCCTAAAACATGGACTTCACGGATTGAGAGAAGTTAAAAATGAATTAGTTCTGTTTGTTAAAAAAATGTAGGTACACAAAAAAACGCTTGCTTGTGAAAAAAAGAGTCAATTTTAAGTTTTGAATAACAAAATTTTGAAGGAACATTTTCCACTTTTACGCCTGCGTCAATAAATTATTATAGTTTTAAGGTTCTTGCGGTTAGAAAGTCACCCTATGAAATAAACATCGTTCTTAGCATATTATTTTTTGCATCGATTCCGTTTAATTTTGCGACACCGAGACGTGAGAAACGTGCTCGTGTTTCGGTAAAATCCGCCATATAGACAAGCTGCGAGCAACAGGTGTTTGTATACGGAGGTTTGGAGCCGCGTGTGGCTCGCGGCAGTGCGGGAGTTTTTCGCGCGCGAGCTTGTGTCAGTCAACGACGGAAAGACGATTTTTCATCCCTCCCACTCGAGCTCCTGAACAATTGATTCAACGAAACACACCAAAATGCCACCAGCGATACGAAGATTTTACACTTTGTCACCCGCATATATATACAATATAAACACTCGCGTCTGCACATACTCGAATGCATGTGCGTATACTCGCGGATACATCCTTTCTTTCCGCGACGTAATGCTTCTGTACACATTATACGTTGAGGAGATATATATAGTCGCACACGCGAAATACATAATTGCGTATATGGCTCGCGTGTGTGCGCAAGTATGCATCCGTGTATATGTATGCAAGTGTGCAAACTTGCAAAGCGGCGGCGGCGGCAAATTCATCGGTGCTGCCGCTCAACGGCAGCTCGGGCAAAGACTATACGTATAATATCATGCGGTCTCTCGGTCCCCCTACATATGTGTGCGTTTCTGCCAATATGTGTCTGTGCTGCCTCTTTGGCGCTTACTTAGAGCTCCGAGTTTGCTATATATACATACCGTGTGTCTTTGCTTGTCTGTGTGCAAACTTATACACACAGATGTAAGACACAAGTTGGCAGCAGAGGCAACACACAACGCACGCCGACTTCGTACTCGCGAACCTCAACCCGATCAGTATGACACGGCCAATGGCAACGCGCGGATCTGTCTCGGACTGTTTTTAGCCGGTTTGCCCGCGCTATATATACGCGCTATACAGCGTAAACGTAACGCACGCATTTTCCTGCACGTCCGCGAAATAATAATACGAGAAAAAAACGTTCGATCGATTCCGATTTTGCGCGCTACGCGAAACACAACGTACTACTACCACTACTCACTACAAATTTTATATACAATCGTAAACACGACGACGGATTATTTTATTGTTAAATTTTAGTGAAGTACGTGTACATATAATATATTGTATGTATCAATTTTCGTACGTCAATGTAACGCAAAGCGAAAACAAAAAAAAACGCACGCGTATCTCTCTGTGGCGCGCGTACGTGTAAATGTGCATACAGCCGAGTCTTCGTATATATACATGTATGTTCTTCGTAATCGATGCTAATGTCGATGCTGTTGTGTGTGCGCGTGTGTGTCTATAGTGCATCGAAGCAACGGATCAGTACGTGTGTGGTGCGATTATTATCCGTGTGTATACACGCGACGTGAAAATATTTAAGTAGCAAAAAATATTAAAAAAAAAAAAAAAAACGAAGAAGAAGAAGAGATACGAGAAGAAGAAGCGGCTATTAACAGTGTGTGTATTAGTGTAAAAGAGAGAGAGAGAGAGAGATAGATTCAGCAGCAAGTGTGCGTTATTATCATAGTAAACACAGTGAGCTCGGTCGATTTTGTCATATTTTTCGCCAGTTCTCGACGTCGTGCTCGTGCTCTCGCGAAGTCGTCTCCGCTGCTGCAGAAGATCATTACATAAATAACAAAAAAAAAAAAGAGCCTCTCGGAGAAATCTGCATTCTGTGTGTTTGTGCGTATAATAATATATATAATACATTTCGTCCAAAAAAGAGCTGCTGCGAGCATGTATAATAATATCTCTCTGCTTATATGCTGCTCCTCTCCTGCGCTCGTCATAATATAATCGAAGAGAGAGAGAGAGAAACACACCGACAACAGCACAACGAGAGTGTCGAGGCGCAGTGAAAAGGAGACGATACACACACACATTCGCCAAGTGCATCATCGTTAAATATATTGTCTGTGTGTGTGTGGTATATTATATCCGCAGTGAACGTTACATATTTTAAATCAACCGACGACGACGACGACGACGTTCGGAAAAAGCCCCGCAACTCTATATAACGTGTATACAAGTGCCCGTACAGTCTGCTGCCTTGTTTATTTCGGAGCTCCCTCGTATTGTTGTGTGTATCGAGTAGCTACTCGATAATAAACTACAGCTACTACAGAAATACTACTGTGCCGTGTAGTCTTCCATACTTAACCAATAATACGACTGCCAATACGCACACAAAGACGACAACGGAATAGTAGTAGCGAAGTGAAGTAAAAAAAAGAAGAAGAAGAGGAAGAATAGAAGAAAGAAAAGTGTCGTGAATGCAACGTGATCGTGAGTGGTGATGATACCAGTGTGTGTGTATTGTGTATATATAAACACATCAAAAAAAGTGCGTCTAACTTCGTGTAATGATCGTTGCCGGTTCTTCGCGCGTATAGCATCGTTGCCAAAAAAGAGCAAAGAAAGCAAAGCAACAACAAAAAAAAAGTCACTCGCGCAGCTTGCAGCAAAACGAGTGTGTGTGTGCCTTACGTGAGATCGCGCATCAGGGGCCCATGCAACAGCAGCGGCAACAACATACGTATATAACATAACTGAATCCTCGTATTATTAGAGCACCGCTGCATATATGTGTGTACGCGATTCTATCGTGCACATATAGTCGTCGTCGTGCCGTTCGAGATAGCGTGTCCGTATTGAGATCGCCGAGTGGTGCTCCGTCAGCGAGGTCGTGCACATTGCCGATGTGTGTATCGCACAACTATCGGCACACATGAATTTCCTACTTCTGTGAGTTCTTTTTCTGTGCGGCCCGATACTGACTTTTTACAAGTGTGCGTATGAGTGTGTTCTTCGATACAATACACGCACACAAGGGTCTGACGTACCAGCGCACTGACAGTTGTGCGTTGTTGTTGTTGTCTCTAATTTAACTCGTGCGCTTGCTGTTTTTTATTGTAAAACGTTCGTTCGGCTTGATATAACGCGAGTGAGGCCAAGACAAGTATATTTAAATGATATACGCACGCGAAAGAGGCAAATCCAAATGAAATAAATTCGAGAAGTCAGAGATTCGCAACGTGTGCTGCGATCAGCTGTTCCTCTCTCGCCTCGCGCGCAGTGGGCGTCGTTGCCGTTGTTCTCTCTGCGTGCTGTCGTTCCAGAGTGCTTCGTTCGTCGAGAAAAATAATAAAAGTGCAAGTGATTTTTGACGGGCAGATATATATATATATATATCTGTCGAAGCTCTGTGCGTGCGCGTGAGTGTGTGAGTGAAACACAGATAGAAACACGTGGACAAAATTGTAGGCAGGCGCATCGAGACACCACGTTACGATGCACCACGAGCAGCCTATGAGGCTCAGGTACGTCACTTACAAATTGAATATATATTCTGCTTTCTGTGTCGATTTTTATGTTTTGGTCTGATTTCGATTCGGTGCTGCACGGCGGCGTTCGAGCGTGCCGTGTGTTGTGATTATTTTTGTTTTTTTTTTAATATACTCAAACACTTGCGCACGTACTCGAAAAAGAGTTCGATACTCGCCGTGCGAGTCGCGGCGACAAATTTTCTCGAGAAATCATCGAGCACAACTCGTCGAGCTTGCATCGTACTACATGTATATATATTTGCCATATTTTCACGCGCGAACGTTACATAAAACGAGTGTTATAAGCAACGAACACGATGTATGCGTCCGTAATATGTGTGAGTGTGAGACAGAGAGAGAGATGTATGCCATTGCTGCCCGCCTGTCGCTCTCCCGCTATCATCGCGCACTTCTGCTCCGCGTTATACATACTACAAACTGCAACAACCAACTACTATATACCACTATCGCGAGTCGAGCGCAAAGAGCGTAAATACATAATTACATTTATATGCAACTATACTATATGTACGTTGTACAGTACGCGATATCTCGCGAACAATTTGTGCCTCTCGGCTTGTTTACTTTACACGACTCGGGCTGCTACTCCTGCTGCTGTTATAACGATCGCGACCACGAGAGAGACGCTCTTGTTAATAATAACAGCGTGAGAGAGAGAGTAATTAAATTGAGTTTTAAATTTTATGTTTTTTTATAATACAAAGTGCAATTGTAAGCGGTTCTCGTTTTTGTTCATTAATACGATGCGCGACTTTATATTTTGCTTTGCGATCGGTAAAAATCGACGAGCGGCGCTTATAAAGACAACACACGAGTTTATTTTTAAAATCATATATGTTTATATTGAAATAATATTTTCGATTATTATATGCGCCAACAGCATGTGTAGACGACACGATACATTATCACGATCGTACGAGGCTCCATTCGAGTGCGGCGACGCCAATATATTAAACGAGCCGAGATGTAAAAGAGAGAATATCACATGGTCGAAAAGCGTGTGTACGCGAATGAACCGATCTATCTCTTGTGTCGCATAATATGCAATGCGTATATCTATATGCGCCGTATATATGCTACAACAGGAAGTTTCAAATTCAATGAATGAGAGACAGAGAGAGAGAGACACTTTCAAAGGCGTCGTGCACACTATACACTTACTACTATACGCTCGTGTACAATGCAGCGATGCAGAGCATCTTTTAGCGTTGGGTTGAGATTACATCCAGTAAAATTATTGTCCGGATCGTTCTGAAAAATTTGCTCCTGTTTACTTTTCATCTGAAAAAACTATCAACTGCGCGTTAACTCGGAGATTGAGAGAGAGAGAGTTATCGACCTTCGAGTAATCGTTTTTTTGGAAAATTATATTTTCTCGTTGGCTAAAAAAAAAAGACAAGAGAATAAAAACGAAAATTTTTTGCAATGATTTGACACGAGGGTTTTCAACAAAAGATAACTCGTTGGTCAGTGTCACCGTGAGTCACAGGCTCGGGTATTATTATTAAATTTTTTTTTTTTAAACCGTATCATCGAAACAACTCATTGCTCTTGTTGCTGATTGTGCACATTGAGGCATGCATACGTATTTTTATATAGCAATCAAGTTTTAAAAGTCGATAGAAAAAAAAGTAAAGAGATTTCCAGAGTTGCATAATTTGGGCAAAATTTCGACTCGAAAGAGCAAATATTGTTTGTAACGATCTCTAATGTTTGCGTGGATATTTTTACGAAAAAAAAAAATTGAGTCTACATCGTTGGTGACGCTGATTATTTGCCACCGGCAAACATTGACGTTACATAAAAAGCAAAAAAGCAAAGTTAAAAAAAAAACGAACGCGCGAATATTTGGATTTCGTTTCGGATTCGATTGTTCGGAGTCGTTTTTTTTTCGGTGCTGTTTCTGCTGCGTTTTTTCCCATTTTTATCGTCTCGAGTTTTAAATGTTGACGAAGAAAAAAAATTAAATTAACAATAATAACGAAAAGCGACACGTGTAACGATCGTCACGACGACGGTGGCAATCGTGTGGCGCGTGTGTATAAACGCGTTTATGATATAAAAAAGCGAGTAGCTTTTCATGAAATTCTACGTTTTTCCTACAAATACTACAAATATACTCGACTGTATTGTGTTCCGCGCATACTACACCATCGCAGTTTAGCGCGAAACGCGTCACGATTCCTCTAATTTTTCCTCGTGACAATGTTTGTATACAAAGAGGCTATATGTACTGACGTTTGATAAAAAAAAATACGACGCACGATCATTTTTCTAACGTATTTATTATAATATTAATGCGTTACAAAGTATATAGGCCAACCATTGACTCCTGCATGCATATTAATCAAACCTGTGGAATCTTCTGCATCTTCCGTGAAGCTGCATAATACATTATTACACCCACTGCATATTATATACATTATACAATGTATACCGACAGAACGTCAAGGATCTCGATCTCTCGTGACGATGTATTTTCGAATCTCACCGATGACGTTGTATAAATCTCTCTCACAAACAACAATGCGTGTGTGTATATCCGTACGATCATAATAATAATAATAACAACGATAATATGTAGATCGATTACAATCGAGAAAGGATATTCAATCGACGCATCGAGTGCACTTTGAGAGATACGTATCGCTGTAACGAGAAGCGTAATATATTTTATATTTATAATTTGCGGTGGCATGCGGCGAACTATTTATAGCCTTTATATATAATTTATTATCGTGCGTCGCGCATTGTGTAATGTCGAGCAACTTTTGACGCGAGCTGAAAACTGCAAAAATTTCCGAGGACGGATTCCGAGAGTTCAGGGCCTTCATTGGTATGCACAATATATACAATATGTATCTCAGCCGCGGGGGAGGGGGTCAATATTCCCAAAATTCACGTGTGTAACTACTGATTTTTGCGTTGATAGTCGAGTTACGCGCGTGTCTGCGTCTGCGAGCCGCGGCGCGAGAGAGGCTAAAAACGAACGAATCCTATTAATAAACACTCGTCGGGTATATATAGATATGGGAGAGCGAATAAAGAGCAGCGCAAAGTGTATTTTTATAAATAACATATGTATACGATATGTTCTTACACACACACACACACACACGAGAGCGCGCGCGAAAGCTCGTGTCTACGAGGTAACATAGCAAGTGCGTATACAAAACGCGTGAAATATACATTCCGTACATACACTTGGCCGCGTTGCAGATTTATTTCTCTCCTTTTTTTCGTTCGATGCTCTCCGAGCAGCAGCGGCATGTTTCGTTCGAAGTTGGGCCTCGTCCCGATTGTGCGCGGAGGCGTTTGAAGAACACACCGAGCGCTCGATGATTGATTGCAAATTATTACATTATGTATGTATCGCTGGTGGAGTGTGTATTTCGTACAGCGCGAGTTGATATTATTTATATAATTATATTCAGAGTCGTAATCGTTTACATCGAAAGGTTCATCGGATGATTATTTTAGGTACGTATATAGCGCAAGTATTACATCGCGTTGTTGTTAATAGACAAGCGAATGAATTGCAATAGAGCCAAGTATGAAATTTAGTTTAATCAAATGATATACAAATTATAGGCATAGGTGTTTCTATAAGTTTCATAATCAATCACACAATATTTCAAGTTAAACAGTTACCTAGAGAATGAAAAATACATGGGTACAAAATGATCATGTATTCTTTATCGACTGAGTGAGAATAGAGAGCTCTTAAGGCTTCTCTATACACACTGTAGTCGGTAACTATATTCGCGTATTTTGTACCCATTTTTTTCATTTAGTATACAACCTATGGTCTTGAAATTTTTTGGGAGTGATCATGAAACTAATACAAATGTGCCTATGAAGCTATTTTTTCATATAAATATTGTAAAAAATTTTTTTTTTCAATTATCTGAAAAAATAGCTTCATAGGCACATTTGTATTAGTTTCATGATCACTCCCAAAAAATTTCAAGACCATAGGTTGTATACTAAATGAAAAAAATGGGTACAAAATACGCGAATATAGTTACCGACCGAGTGTGTATAGAGGACCCTTAAGGAGCTTTATACATCAATTCACTCCTCTTTGGCATTTTTTTGTATATGAATCACAGACTAATATCAATTTACATTTTTATCATAAAATTTATATCTTGGAGACCTAAAAAATGTGAAAAAAGTTGCTCAGTAGGCTTTTGCATCGAGAAATAGTTTATTTTTGCTATTTTAGCATTTTGATGTTAATTGATTGATTAGGAGATTTATTGGAGCCTTGAGGTATAACGACATGAGGCCACTCGGTGCACAAAGTTCAGATTAAAGTTTTTAAGGTACAGACCTTTAATACGGACCAAAATCGTTGTAGAAAAATATTTTCTATGGGCTGTGTTTTCTGGAATTTTAATTTAAATTATCAAAAAGTATGCACGCCAGCGCAAACTCATTCTGAACAATCATTTTTAATTTATTTAAACGATTTATTAAAACTGATTGTTATTAAACAAATTTAATTTAATTTGTTTCTTCGTTAATTTTCGATCGTTATCATAAAAACTTAACATTTTTAACGATTTTTAATTATTGTTACTTTAATTGTGTTAAAAATACTAAAAAATAAAAAATAATATTTTCACAATAGAAATTACAATTTGCATAACGAATTTGTATTACGCGGTCAATATGTACTGCGTTTGGGGGCACTACTCTTCGAATCCAAGCTATGTAGGTGAAATAGAGTTAATAAGGCGTCTTCATTATAGCCACGAGTTTTTGACTTTCTCTTCAAATCACGCGTGAGTCCGTGCGTGTATTAGATTACTAAGTCGCCATGTGTTTTTTTGGCTCAGATCATAGTGTACCTGCATTCGTAACACGTCTCAGTGCGTGAGGAGCTATAAGAAAAATTTCATCGACTACAGAAAGTGTTCTTTGTGAAAAGTGTAAAATAAAATTTGTATTATAAGAAATTGTGTGTT